TTTGCAGCCGTGCCCAACACTTGACGACGATGGTTTCCTAAGCTAAATACTTTGGTGGATACACCTAACCAACGAAGATATCGACACAAAGAATGAGAGACATGTGTTTTTCCTCTTGCGGGTAATCTTTTTTCATTCGATAACGCGCGAACATGATTAAAAAGATTTCAGCCAGGAACAACATTTAAAAGTTCGAACATGTTTACCCTACTGTAATAATGGCAATTCGCCCTGCGTGAAACAAATGACCGGAACTTGTCTTATAGAGTTGAGTAGCCATGTTCGTTTTTTACAAATGTATCGGGTATGTACGGTCACGACAAAAAGCTCATCCGATTTACATGTGTAACAATTCTTTACACAAATTTTTTCAGTAAAAACAATATTTTACATATAGTTTTACGTATTAAGCAAATAGGTTAAAAATATTTGTTTTCAAATGGTTAATATGCAATTGACCTTCACTATTGATGACTCAAAAGGATAAAATTCAAAAATTGTCATCGTATATGTCATCCTGATTTTTTTCTTTTAATTTTGCATTAACGATTTCGTGCGTTCCCCTTGCTTGTTGCCTTTTACCCGATTCTTCGATTTCCTCGTTCCCAATAATCGACCCGATTTTTTCCTACATTATTATCAAATAATATATTAAGTAAGGAGACAGACAGACTAAAAAAAAAAAAAAAACCTTCATAAATCCGACGGCCGTATCCTTGTTTCCATGAATACTTGATGGGTTTTCATATCTTTTCACGATCTCTTCATTAGGCTTGGCGCGAGATTCATGTGAGGGAACTTCACCTGGGGAATTTTCGGATGTTAACTTTTTTCAACAGGAGAGAAATAAACTTGATTCTCATTCAAGATTGATCTATATGTAACACCTCGTTCCTTCTCCACGATGCCAACAGATTCCAATGCAGACGTGACCAGACCACCAATTTGGGATAATCGAGATCCATCTTCGTTGTTGTTCTCTTGTGAGATTGCATCATCAGATTTCCTGTTCATGTTGGATCCGAAAAGAATATATGCCTATATATACAGTATATTGTTTTAATAAAGAAATGAATATTGATGTAGAGAAACTATAACATTGTTTTGAAAAGAAAAAAAGAACATTTTCACTTTTATATGTGACTTAATTCGGAATTTAAACTTGTTGCTTTATAATATACAGTATATGTAAGCAAATTAAGCTAGTTATCACCACCACATTTACAAAATTTACGTCACCAAAGATGTTTTTCATGACATATTTTTTACATGTTCACTACAAATTTAATTATTCTAGAAAGAAGAGTATTAATTATTCTTTATCGAAGAAATTATTTAAAAGATCTCTCAAGTTTGACAACACATTCCTTATCTCGGGAGTAATCGCCATCTGATGACATTCCCGAATAAAGTTCTGCACTAAACATGCTCCGTTCAAACAATCTTGCTCTTGCATCACCGATTCTTTACCTTTGTCAACCTTACATGACGTCAAATATAAAATTCTTGAGAGGGACATCAGCTCGTCGTTAAGTAGATCTTTCATTGGTAGTAATTTATTCCACTCATCAACTTCACCATTATCGTTAAACTTCCAGAAATCCGATTCCTAATATGAAAAGATGAATCAGAGTAATGTCTTATGTGCTAATTAATTTGGAAACTAAAATATACACACAGTCACAGGTTCATTGTCAAAATGGGAGGGCGAATGGTTTGTAAATCTTTTTATTGACTCGTGTCTTTCGGATACAACAAGTTGAATTATTTCGAGATTTGCCTAGGCAAAATAAGAAACATAATGAGACACACCCTTTGAAACCAATAAATATCTCGAACCCCGAAAACTATGAGTGACAAACAATCAGCGCGGTTGCTTCGTGATTTTTTAGCCAGTCAGCACTTTGTAATGACTCCTCGAAAATGCTGATCAAACTTTGCTACGTGATGAAAAGATGGAGTCGAATCGGTCAATGGGATCACTTGAAAATTTCATCAGAGCAAGAACGTAAAATAATACCTTGTCACTTGATTGGAGTAATGTATCAGCATAATCAACAATGAAATTGTATACACCAAAGAAACACATAAATCTTTTCAAATGCGGTGAAGAGATCCAAAGATCCGTCGTTCTGAGAATCTTTATTAATAATAAGAAAGAAATTTTGTCGCACGAAAATATAGTAAGTGTTATAAATGAAATCTCAAAGGAATTCGAATATATTGCAAACCTCTCGTGCTTCCTCAATAGATAGTGATCGTGTGTCTGTCAAAAGGCAGAAAACACTTTCGACCGTCGTGAAAACCTTTTGAGAAGGTGAATAAGCCATTATTGTTGATTGTAAAAAAAATGTGTGGGCGCGGTTTGCAATTTACTTTTCTGAATTCCGACGAAGAAGGCTGCAAGTCATTCAGAGAATATATGCAATTCTTTAAAAATCCCAATGTCATATGTACAAGGTTGAAAGGATTGAGTTGAATGTCGTTGCGTGTTAAAAGGATATTTTTTACATGCAAGATGACAAAGTGCTGAAATCGAAAAATGGTCTTAAATAATTTTGAGCAAAGAAATTTCCACAAGAATAGAGAATCAATACTTACAAGTGCAAATAATCCGTCAGCTGACAAATTTCGAACATTTTGGACGTAAAAGTTGATCCATGAACATATTTGTGCGTACCCAGACATCTTTTTCCGAACATGTTTATGCGTACGTTATATAATCGTTATTTACAATGAACTTTCAATATATACTGTACACAATCTTATCGAACCTTTATTTGAACTTTAGTTACACCGCTAACGAGAGCTGCCTTTCCCCCATCGGGCAAGGAGAAAAGAAATTGTTCGGACGCTTTGGCCTGTAATCCAATTTTGACTTTTCTCTTTTCGGGATAAAAATATATCATTAAAGTGTAAGATGTTACTCACCACTTGCTCAGAATCGAGAAATTGGATCAGGCGTTTTGAAAGCCTTTGCAATCGACATCGTACTGAAGGCGTATTGGGAAGTTTGGAGATCTGCAAAAAATATAAAAAAATTTTTTCCCTCAACTTTAAATAAGTACGTGCGCGCATTAATATAACGCGTTCGACTCACAATTTCCAATATTAATTGAACTTGATGATATAATTCGCAGTTCGCCAATGATTTTCCAACGCAGCACCAGGAATCAATGATTAAAGCACAGGTTGTGGTACTCCGAGAGATCAACAAGAATTCTAACATGTAGTGTTCGCACAGCGTAAACAGTAACGGCGATAGCATTTTTACGAATGTACAAAATGTAATCACCACATGCATGTAGAAGGAATCTTCTAAAGGTGCCAGATTAGAACCGACAATTGATGGTGCAGCGAAGCTTTCTGCATTGGGCGCGTCTATCAAAGTGAAAAGAAAGCATTCCGGGTAATCGTCTAGTGTATCGAAAAAGAGTCTCAGCAGGCAAAAAGTTTGTGATTTTGTTGGATCCGAAAATAATTTCGAATGTAGCGAGATTGGTATGTCATCGAAATTGGCAAAAATCACCAATAAGAAATGAATCCTTGCAAACTTGAACTCGTCGATTTTTATATCTCCAAGCAGACTTGAATGATTCCGGTTCACGGAATCAAGATCAAAGTTGAAAAAGTTGAATATCATCTTGTAGCGATAATCATCATTTGTGATGCTATCGTTAATAATCAACGCAAGGAAGACATTGTTGACAACGAGGAGCACACGACCTTGCAACAAATTACTAAAATATGTCGGCATCCCACACACAGGTGACATTTTACTAAATAAACCAAAGACGTTTATCATCACATAATTCATTTGATATGCGCATCCACAATGGAAGAGCCTAGGGATCATTACACACCTCACGAGAAATGTTAAAGTAGTCCGTAAGGTCTGGATAATAATTGGATTTGCGTCCCATGCTATGACTTCTGCATGTGCTTTTACGATACTCAGCAAATGTGCAATGTAAAATCTTACAATTGTCAACATCTTGTCAAACTGCTTGCCATCCGAAGGTGTCTGTTTAACGGACTTCTTGAACATAACAAATTTTATCAATCTTGCGTAATTTTCTGATACACCGCGACAAAGGATAAGTATGATCGAATCCAGCTGGAGCACCAAACAAATAATTACTAGGCATATCATGATCATTACAAGCGATAAAAAAAAAAAAAAAACTCGAGAATAACCTTTAATGTCCTTTTGAACACGTCACTTTGGTGCTTGACCGATAATCTTACTAAATATTTCCATGTAAGTGTAAGGGTCGGATAATCTGTCGCACTCGCTTCGGCTATCGGTATGAGACCGTTGCAAACTTTAAGAGAATGCATCTATGTTCAGAAGTCAACCCTTCGAACTTTCGAGAGCAGCAATTAACAACCTACCATCAGAAATTCCGAATGCAATCGTTTCGTCTAGGTCGAGTTCGTCACTGTCTAATACCAACAAATGTTCATCAACAAACTTCAAAAAGTCGCCCAAAACTTCATGAGCTCTTTTGCACCACGTGGAGATTAACTGGCGCAACTCGCAATTCTTGGAAAACCTATTTATTACTACAGGAACCTGTTGAATATCAAAGAAAAATTGGATGGGTATCGAGTACTCATCTTTCGCACGTTTTTTTTTACTGTTTCAGTAAAATTTCCGAACCTTGGTAATCGTAAGCGCGCAATAACATGTCTTGAGGACACAAGAACAAACACTGGAAAACGCGCTTAATCCGTGTTCCTTCTGCTTAACGAGGAATTCGATCAACGGAAAAGTGTCACCGCCGTCGCTTGTCACTTTGTTGCGTAGTGTCTGCAGGGCCTCTCCTAACAAATGGAAACACGACACATGGATCTACGGATAGATTCGTCAAGATTACATATCCTTCATAAAAATAATTCCATAACACAAGGGTCTGACGGTGGTTACTTGGATGATGGTCGGTGTGCCAGAAACATCATCAACAATTTCACATAAAGTTGTTTCAACGTTTTCAGATATAGATTGTACCTAATTTTGGAGAACGATTAAACATATTCATTTTATTTAACAAATGTGATGCGTTCAAGTCGCGTACTGCCTGGAGTCCTAATGCGAACAATTCCATTGATTTCATTATTTCTTGTCCCTTAAATCGCAATATCTCCCTGAAACAATCAACTGCCCGAGCTCTAACAAGTAACGGGCAGGACGCACGAATTGCACAGTATACGATGAAGGTTAAAGAAATAACATTCAAAATGTTTGATAACATCAAAGTGCTTATAGGATATGGTTAATAAAATTAGAGTTTGTGGAAGCAACGAATCCTCGAAATTATTGTCAGTAATGATTTCTTCAATTTCCTGTATGATTTGAATTAAATCATCTTGTTGAAGCTCATCTGCTTGCAAGTGAGATTCAAAGGTTTCTAACGCATGAGAAAGCATCTGATCTTTATTTTCAGTGCAACATAGAAAGCCTACTCTTTCTATATTTCGGTAAGATAGAAATTTTTTTTGGAGGGTTTACTCTCTTTCGTGACGCGTCTTCTTTTAACGAATGACTAAACATGTGACCGAGTATAAATTTCATGGTTTGATTATTCGACGGAGAACGAATTCGGAAACTTTGGTTACATGTATGCGGCATCAAGGTATCATACATTTTGCAGGGTGACACAGGAGATGAAAGTATATAAGGCAACGAATATCTCATCTTGTTCGCAGAAAATGTATGGACCGCCTATGTTTGCCTGTCGAATTTCCGTTTTATGCGGAAGATTTACCAAAACTTCTTCCATTAAAGCCACAGCCGGTAAATCAAGGTGTATCCCTCGTTTGTTTTGTGACCAAATTCTAAAGATATCTTTTTTTATCATTATTAGGAAATGCCAAAAATCTTGTAAAAAAGGATCTTCACGGCTTTTCACGCAGGTAGATTCTTTTTTTCTTTGTCCAATCTCATTTTCGAATCCGATATGAAGGTTGTCCTGCCTGCCCAAATCTGTCCCAAAAGGAGTAAACAGGATGAACAAATCGATTTCCTTTATGGCTTATCTGTGGTCATACCGGCGCTTGAACAGAGACGTCGCAAACTTTACCGTCTATTCTATCATGAAGTAATTGATTTTCGCAAAAAATCTGAGTAACTATTCAAACGACTTCTCGTACGATTGGGACTCCGGCGTTTTCTCGAAATTAATTTATCTACATTAGAAACTCCCTGGACAAGATCATTTCACTGGCAAATGAAGCTAAGGTGCCAGTCGTGAAAGCAACCAAATGGGAATTAAACGAATTGGTGGAAAACCGACCACATCAGGTAGAAATCTTGATCGTGGGATGCATCAAGAAATCATCGCTCACCTCTTACCTTTCAGGGAGTAGTCCTAAAAGCTTCGAGGATCACGCCATTAAACATTACATGCCTTGGCAAGCCTACTGACGAGAGGTACATAATTAACCTTAATGTTCCTTGGTCTGATGAATGCAACTCATGAAATATTTGATCAAAGTTATCAAGTCATCCAATCGAATGAATCGATAATCAACATCGGCATTTCATCAACTGGAAAGTGGCCTCTCTGGCTTGCATTGGACCAAGTTGTTGACCCACAGGTCGGTTGACATTACGTTTTAAAAAAAATATGCATGGAAGACGATTCTGATAAAAATTTCTTGATATTGGAGAACTTGGGTGCTATTATGAGGCAAGTTAATTGCCATCCTCTTCATGGATATAGGATTTGTGTCGTTATATTAACATCTTTGATCTTTATTCATAGATCTGCCTATTTCTACGGTGTTGATGGAATTGTCATCTGCACGAAGAACAGGTAAATTTCACCCAACTCGAGAACCTTCATCCCTGTTTTAATAAACAATTGGGTTAACATTCTTCTCTATTAATATTATTAACGCGGTTAAACAGCGCACCTTTATCAGCAGTGACGGCGAAAGCAAGTTCGGGCGCTCTTGAAATTATGGATTTATATGACGTTGACAATCTTGTGAAATTTTTAGATGTATGGAATGAACATGCATTGGTTTGAATTTGATTCTCAGGACAACAATTCTCATATCTGTCAACAATTTTTTGGATTGACAGAATTCTTCAAGAAATGGATGGGTCATATATGGTGCAGTTGCAGCTGACAACAGCCGTAATCAAGAAAACAATTTAATATCTGTGGACGAACTGAATCGACCGTTGACCAAACATCCCGTAATAATGGTAATCGGAAGTGAAGGTAAATTATCTTATAAGTCTTAACAACCTCTTTTATTTTACTACAAAGTTTTGTCATCAATACATATCATAATCTCATTTTACACAGGCACGGGGCTCCGTTCAAATGTCGCAAGTGTGTGCAACCATAAACTCTATATCCCATCTTACAATACAAAGAAATCAAGACACATAGATTCTTTGAACGTTAACGCGGCAACTGCTGTATTGCTACAGATGTTCCTAGGACATTAATAGGTAAA